AAAGACCCCATGCGCTGACTGACAATACAAGGGCTGGGCAGAAAAAGTGAGTTGTTCTGTTATTGGGGGCTTTGGGAGTAAAGTGCAAATGTGCTGGGGGGAGGGGGTTCTTATCATATCTTTAGCAGGCAAGTGGAGAGAAGTGTGGATCAGAGGTGCAGAAGCTGATTGTGAAGGAATGGCGATCACGGATTCAGAGTACAGTGTCCTGATAATCAGGTTGTTAATCTTTCTGTGATGTAAAGTAGTCCCTCTTGTTCTCCATTTAGAAGGATGTACAGCATTCTGGAGGCTGACTCCTAAGGCTCACATCTCACAGTTGGTCAAAATGGACTTTTCATTAATCAGAACAAAGCAATCACAACCAATATTGTAAAGGATGATTAACATTTTTTTTTAACTATGGCGAGTGCTCAACTAGGATCAATTTTCTTACTCTTCTAATATTTTCTAATAATTCTAATTTTTTCCCTGCTTTCTTCAGCTGGGTACAATGATATTTAAAGATGCAGACACCATACATTTCATATTTAATTACCAGGTGCTTCATAAAAAAAAAGAGAAAAACCCATTTTCTGTTCTTACATATTTAATGGTTAAAAAGGAAAACAAATCATTTTAAATTGTGCTGACCATGCATGGAAACCTCATACATTGCTGGTAAATGCATAAAACGGTATAAAAATTATAGAAACATTTTGGTAAGGTTTGAGCTGCCCTATTTATACAGAAATCTTTTGACTCAGAAATTATATTCTAAGCATTTTTGGTCCAAAGGTACTAAAAACATATGTCCACTCAGAAACTTAAACTTGACTGTTCATAGTCAACCAAATCCCAAACAACCAAACACCCAATAAAAACTATTTTCATCAAATGTAAACAAACATTATAACAAAATAATTTATTAAAACTGTAAGCTGGGTGAATAAACACACAACAGAATTTGAACGATATGGTTCTGTGTACATGAAATTTAAGCTGAAGTAAAACTAATCTTTCATAAAAAAAATTATGCCATTAATAAGAAAAATTAGTTGCAAAGGAATACAGAAAAGCTTAAGGGTTGAATAAATAAAGTAAATATTCTATCTACTAAATCTGAATGATAGTTACGCAGTTCTAAGTGCTTTTACAAACTCATTCACCTCTTTTATCAAATATTAGTTGAGAATAATGTCTTGGGTTTATTTCTGTGTTCTCTGTTCTGTTCCATTGGTCTATAAGCCAAGGATGGGGATGGGGGAAATGGGGAGGAGGGTGTCAATGAAGAAAAAAAGGAGAAACATCTGTAACTAAACTAAATTAATAAAAATAAAAATTTTTTAAAAATAAACTTATCCACCTTGAAATTTAATATCTGTCCATAATATTTCTTGTAGATTGTATATGTATTTTTAAGTTACCTAACATGAAATCAAGTATTAAATATTAGAATCATCTCTCAAATTAGACAAAACATCAGAAACAGATATATGAACATATATAAAATAACAGAGTAAAATTTTTATGGATGGGAAGCTTATTACCTGTTTCAGTGGTTAATGAATGACTATTTAAATATATTAGTGATAGACTCCTGTATTAGTCTTCACTGAGTTTTACAAATGAAGCAATTGTTTTCATATTAATAACGACTAATAGTTCTTTACCAATGTTGACTTCGGTTCTAAGTACTTTTTATTCATTTACTCATAACCTCTGTATATTTGAAATTATTTGTTCTTCATAATTTGGTTATTGCTGTTATTTATCATTTTTATTTATTGTTATTAGTTAAACGTGAAGAAATTGAGGATCAGACAGATGAATTGCTCAAGGTCAGGCCTCGTAAGTGACACAGAAAGGAGTCAGATTCAAATTACATTAAGGTAATGCTCTTTGTTTGGTCCCTTTTCTTCTTTAAATATATAATAAATGTTGCATTTTAAAATATAGAATATATCTATTAGAATATAAAATAACATTTTCTGTTAATACTTACTAAATATAAATTTTAAAACTTGCTATTTATATTTGCTTTAAAATATACTTGCTTAAAAAAAAACTACCTAAAACAGATTTTATATGCATATATGGTACAATTTATGTTCTGGCTAATATGTACATTTCAGAAATGTATGTAAATATTCTCCCCCTGTCTATGTATATAAGTGTACAAGCTACAGTATTATTTGTTATAACTAAAACCAGAAATATTTCATTCATGTGTCTCTCAAAAATGTAACAAATTACACACTGCAATTTCAAAATAAACTAAATGTCACTAAAATTATATTAAGAAAAAATCTAGAAATAATATTTTGTTGAATTTTATTAATTTAAAGTTTAGGAAAAGAAAATGAATAATGGTGATGAAGTCAGAGCAGAAGTTATTTTGGGGGCATGTTTAAAGACAGTTTGTTAAACTAGGTATGGTAACAGATAGGTGGGTATAATATGTAAAGGGATAAACACTTTGTAAATTATATAATGTCCAGTCTCTAGTATATACATATATACTGTATATATACAGTAGTTTATATCGACTATAATTAAAAAATAATTTAAAAGTTCTAAAAAGTGAAAATACCTTGCATAGTTTAAAAGACTATACCTCATACCTGATAAAAATCTTGTGTACAGATTATATATGGAACACTTGTAACTCAACAATAAAGACAGACTACACAATTAGAAAGTAAGGGCTGAAATAAACATTTCTCCAAAGAAGATAAATAAATGGCCAGCAAGCACATAAAAAGATCTTTTCAAAACCACAATGAGATGACAATAATAATTAAAAAAAAAAAAAAAAAAAGAGGTGGTGGACTTGTGAGTGAAAAAGAACAAGCATTAGAAAATATGAAGAAATTGAAATACTCATATATTTCTGGTGGGAATATAAAGGTGTAGCTACTGTGGAAAATAGTTTGGCAGCTCCTCAAAGTGACATAACATTACCAACCATTCCACTTCTAGGTTGATACTTAAAACCGGTATGAAACCTGTACATGAATGCTCATAGCAGCGTTATGCAAAATGGACCAAAGCTGAAAACCACCTAAATGTTTTTCACCATGGGATGACTGGATAAACAAATATGGTATAATCATACAAAACAAATATCTTTCAGTTATAAAATGAATGAAATACTGATATATTCTACAACATAAATGAGTTTCAAAAATATCATTTCTAATAAAAAGCCAAACACCAAAGGTATAACCTAGTATGATTTTATTGATATGAAAGTGTCAGAAAAGACAAATTTGTAGAAAAATAAAGTAAGTAGATCAAGAGTTGCCAGAGGATGGGGACTGACTGCTAATAGGTGATAGATTTCTTTTTGAGATGATGAAAATGTTCTAGAATTAGATCGTGCTGATGGTTGCATAATTGTGAATATACTAAAAACTCTGAATTTGCACTCTGTAAAATAGTAAATTTTATAATATGTGAATTATAGCTCAGTATAAAAGCATTCTTTAAAACAGGGAGATTTTAAGTATCGAGCATAAATACATAAAATATATAAAATTATTTTAAGTAGACTGTAGTTTAGGTAGTTGTTTAAAATATTACAATATGTATTTGTCTTTTATATGGCACAAATCTCAGATTAAACAAAAAAATTTTGTTTTTTAAACTAGTCTGCAAAGTTAAGTCCTGTTTAACTCTGAACTTGCTTTTAAACACAGAACATTTGCCCTGGCCAGTTTTGCTCAGCGGTTAGAGCTTTGGCTTGCGGTCTGCAGAGATCCGCGTTCGGTTCCTGCTAAGGTCATGTACCTCGGTTGCAGTTTGTTTCCAGCCCTGGTGGGGTCCTGCGGGTGGCATCAGCTCAATGTGTCCCTTTCATGTCAATGTTTCTCTCTCTCTCCCTCCCACTCTATCTGAACAAAATATCAAAAAATGACCTCAGGTGAAGATAAAAAAAAAATAATAATAATAAATAAAAACATGACATTTAGTTCAAAATATGTACTATTTTAGTGTTTGATTTTTATTATTTGATGTGTTGTTTTAAAAAGTTTTGGAATATATGCATTTTGATATGTGCTATATATTTTGATCCTTGATTTATTTTTATTCTAAATGTAATGCTTCTCTTTGCAAACTACCTGTTTTCTGGGTCAGACTCTACACAAATTTTTAATGCCATTGCTTTAAATTTTTATTGACATCACATTAGATTAACCAGATTGAAACTCTTACTCCTTATCCCTTTTTTCCCCCATAATCTAAATAGAATGTTTGTAATCTTAACATTATATCTGTAATTTTCTTCCCATAAATTTAAGAGGTAGGTGGCCATAAAAACACATGCATTGACATTGTCAAAAGTAATTTTTTTAATAAAAGGAGGCAAAAGCATTAACCTCATACAGATAAAAATAATAATGAGCACAAGTTAAATTAAGATTTTATTTTATCAGATAATTGTAATAGGTTCAGTGACATGAAAGCATGACAAATTGAATTGCAAATGACAGAAAAACTGTTTTTTCCACACCAGAAAGGGAAGGCACTATAACCTATCAAAGGAGCCTGATTTTACTTATCTCTATGTAAATAACCTGCAATTTACAAAAATACACTAAGTAGCTGAGAGGCCAATGAACAGACCTTGTGGAAGCTAGAAATTTTCCATTGTAGTGCCATATATATGGCACAATTTTATACATATTTCTCACCACTATATTTTTAAGTTACAGTATTTAAAATAGAAAGAGAACATTATTAGCCTATGCTGGATACGATCAGAATATCAATATCCATAAGGAAAGATATTCAGTGGCAGTGTTAAGATACTTTCAAGTTAGTACTTTCAAGCAGCCATACACACAAGTTGAATTATTTCAGAATGTTGTGATTTATCTGTGAAACATATTTGCGCGCCTTACTTTTAAATTAAGTTACAGGTAAAATAATAGTACAACTGAGATGAATAGGAACTTTGTTAAGGAAAGCTAGGAAATTGAGATCAAAAGTAAAGGAGAGAAGGCCAGGGCTGTAAGTTATGGTAAAAAGGGAACCTCTGCGTAGCCGGTTACCCGATTGTCAGGCAGACCTGTGGAGCTGCTGCCCTGCTCCTGTTGCAGCGCGGAGCTGGCTCTGTTCATGGATTGTGAGCGCCTTAGCTGGTCCTGAATTGGTGAGTGGGTGGTCTTAGTAGAGATGTCCCTGTAGTTGATGGGGTACAAATGCCGGTCAGCATGCCCCCTGCTGCATAGTGTTGAAGAGGAGTCTGCGGGATACAATTTGTCACTTTTCGGTGGTAACTTGGCCTTCCGACGAGGTCTATATTTATAGTTCGGGTATTTCTCTCGGTGCTCATCACGTAGCCTCTGCGCCTCCTGGAAGAATGGCCATTTTTCGGTTTCTGTAAGCATTTTCCATTGGTTTCCCAGATGCTTGCTGATCTCTGAATTTTGCATTTGGGGATTTTCTAGAGCCACCTTGCGCCTTTGTTCTCGAGACCACAGCATGAATGCGTTCATGGGTCGTTTGACGCGGTCCTGGCCCTTGTCTCTACCATTTCCTTCTGTTTCACAACAATAATTTGAGCTAGGATTGCCCATCCAAAGCAGGGAAGAGGTTTCCCCAAAGGCTAGAATAGTTTGTTTCTGTACCGCTGCACTGTAATTATCATCGCTGTTTATTATTCTGAACATAGCTGAATCATGTAATAGATTACACCATTAGTAAAGAGAGATGTCGCAAAATCAGAAGGTGTAACTGTTCTGATTTTTTTACTATTCAAACCTTATTTATAGCAGACTTCATTATTACTCTAACTTTTGTGATAAAATATTTATTTCTCCGCCCCAAATACGTATCCTTGAATATCCTCTCCATCCCCCAAACCCCTCACGTCAGCCAAACCCACCCAGTCCACCCATTCTCAACCAATACATCTTAGTTGATAACAACACACTGAGTATGAACTCCACACTTAATCCACCTCACTGAAGGCTCTAAATCCAGAAAGCTGACTCGAAAACTTTAGTATTTTGATGTAATAAAATGGGAAGAAACTTTCCCCATACCATTTGCAAAATAGGAGTAGTAACCATTGATTGCCCTGAACACAGCCTATTAAAAGTAAAAATAAAGTCTCACCAAGGCTGAATACAAATAACAAATTTCTAACACAGTAAAGTTAATTTGATTCCTGCATTATATGCAAATAATCTATATAAACAAAGGCAATTTATGCAATAAATATTATGATGAATTAATATGAGAAACTCCACACAAGTATTACTTTATTCAGTGAAAAGATGAGAGAAATCTTACTCAGTATTCTCATCTAATACAGTTTTCAAGATCCAAATAAAGTGGTAATATATTTTACTTGACAGTTTAAAACAAGTATCTTAATACAGAATTCTATGTTTAAATTACACTCAAACACCAAAGCACATTTTGTAAATCTGGAAATTGTTTACTATATGACAAAATAATATACTACCTCAAAACTGAATTTAAAAAAATACAAAAAAAAAACAACAACACAAAAAAACCACACAAAAAACTATTGAATACTGCTACATGGATGAACTTTGAAAATATTACCTTGAGTGAAAGAAGCCAGACACAAAGGTCACATACCAACTGTTTTATATTCCACTTTTATGAACTGTCCCAAAGATGCAAATACATAGATTGAGACAGCAACCAAATTAGTGGTGGTCAAGAACTGGGTTGGGAGGAGAGGGTTTAAAAATTAATATACAAATGGTTGCATTCTTTCCATCTGGCATAATAAAATATTCTGGAACTAGATACAGATGATGGTTGCACAAAATTCTGAGTATTTCAGGCTACTGAATTATATGCTTTAAATGGTTAAAATAAATAAAATAAGTTTTATGATATATATCATATATATATATTATAAAAGCAAACAAAATGTCAACTACAACAACCACAAACAGACAAACCAGGAGGCAAATAAGATCTCACAATTATTTATATCTTTATATGAAATGAGTAGTAGAGAGTTATTCTGAGGACAGGGCAGTCAATAAAGTTAAATTTTAAATTTGTTTTTGAAACCACAGCTCTTGGAATAGTGTTTGGCATACAGTAGTTTTTTAAAAAAATATTGATCCAATGTTTTAATTAATAAAAGGGGTGAAAATAGCCTTAATTTTGCAGAAGAATAGATAACTGGTATTTAACTTAAAAAAAAAAAAAAAAAGAGAAAGAGAGAGAGACAAGACTATTTAGAGTAACAATGTTTCATGCAAAAGTAGAAAAAAAGCAGAGAGGGAGACGTGATAAACCTCTGTAATATGGTATTAATAACCTACCTAAGGTTTCTCTCAGTATATTTATGATGGTTCAAAACTTTTTGACCTCAGAATCAGGGCTGGCTCTTAGTTGCTCTGCCCAGGTATAAGATTTAACCCTTCTTAAAATATTGATACTTTATACCCCAGAGTATAAATATGCCTCTTTTACTACACACACACACTTACCCTACAGCTCCTGGGTAACTGATACACCACCATCATCTCTCCAATTTAGTAAATAATAGTTTAAGATTCTATTGTGTTATATGATTACATTTTTTTTCCATTTTTTTTTTTTTTGTACAGATAGAGTGGGAGGGAGAGAGAGGAAGAGAGAGAGAGGAAAACATCGATGTGAAAGGGACACATCGAGTGGCTGCCACCCGCACGACCAACCAGGGCCGGAGACAAACCGCAACCGAGGTACGTGCCCTTAGCGGGAACCGAACCCAGGTCTCTCCGGACCGCAGGCGGACGCTCTAACCGCTGAGCCAAACCGGCCAGGGCTGACTACATTTTTTTTAGTATTAATTATTATGTAATAAAGGCTGTTGAATATCAAATAGACTCATAAGTAATCTTAAGTGGTTCTGTGAAGGTTAAATTAAAGAGGTATTCACAAAAAACAAAGTTTGCCAAACAGACTTATTTTCTCTCTAGGCAAAAGTACTGCAGTACATTAAAAGAATGCTCAAAAAGAGCTTAGATTTGAGTAACTACATACAGACTTACTGTTTTTTTTAATCACACCTAAAGTGAATGAGACCTGAAAAATAATAATTTTAAACATTACAGTAAAATTAACTGCATTTGGGATACACCAACACATTGTTTTCTCTTTGGTTAAATGACCCCTAATAGGGCTTTTTATTTTTATAGTGAATAGAAGCAGAGCTCAACACCATTTACACAATAAAACCTGGTCTATAAGAATATTTATCAACTTCCCAGGTGTGCTCTTTCAAGATCACGGTCTCTGCCCGTTGGTCAGTGCCAGGCCATGGGTTAATAGTCAGTGCAGCTGGTCATGGCATCACCCACTCAGTTTTGCTGCTTTTGCAACCCTGAAGCAAAATACACTGAAGCCTCCATTTTATCTCCAGGGAGGAAAGTTTAGGGAGTCTAAACTGCATTATCAATGATACAAAAGGTCAGCGTGTCCAAACACATTTCTACCAATATGCTAAGAGAGGAAAGATTACCATGGGAGTGAGACCCTCGTTTTCCCAGTTTTGCCCCTTATTATGCACTTAGGACTTTCTGCCCTGGGGACCATCTGTACTTAGCCCATCAACCTTGCTCTGTTCATTTCTGTGTAATTGCCTATCACAAATATACAAAGATATGTGGTCATAAGGTAAACCCTGCAAATTGTAAACCAATTGTAGTTTAATAATCTTTTGGGGAGGAAAAAGCATTTCTTTCCAGATTTTTTTTTATTATCTACACTAGTAATTAAATAGACATGAGAAAGATTAGCAAAAGAAAGTGATCATATTTAATATATGCATATGTATGGAAACCTTAAAATACATGACAGAGACACAGCCCCCACATGTGTGAGAGGTTCAGAGATAGAAAGTGGATTAGAGTATATAAGACATCCTGAGCTAGAGATGAGGTAATAAAAGCAGGTATTGAGTAAATAGAAGTTTGCTCTTCTGCCAAGATAGGTTAAAATATGTTATCTCAGATAACCTGTTATAGACAAGACCCCTAATTCAAATTCTTATGGGTAGTTAAATAGGGAGAGTGAGTTATTCTTGAGACTTAAAATAAAATTGCCTTTAGCTCAAAGAAATAAAGGCATATACTGGTGTGGCTTTGACCCATCCCACAGGTCCAGCAACAAGGACTCTAGAGGGGGAGTGAGGATGAGAAGGGACAAGAGACACAAGAAATGGAGACAAGACAGGGCTCTCATCAAGTCTCGTTTATTCAGGGGTAATTCGCACAATATATAGGGCAAGAAGCACCTGTTGCCAAGCACCAAGCTTGCCCAAAGCAAATCTAGGAAATACTACAAAGGAACAAAAGGTCAGCAAAGACTGGCTTCTTGAGTAAATGGTTACTTAAAGAAATGCGAAATGTAGAGCTAAAGAAATGCAGAATGCAGAGATATCCTGCCTTGGGGCAGGCGATGGCAGAGCAGATTATAACAAAATTGACACCATGCAAAAAGTCTCCCACAGGTCTCCCTTTTCTTTAATTTTTTAAGGCCGAAATAATATCATGAGGGGACTGTGCCTGTCTTAGGTCAGGAAACTTGCACACGGTGCCAACCTGGAATAGCAAGGCAGCATAAGGCCTTGTTCCTGTCTTAGGTGGTGGTTGGCGATGTGTGTGAGTTCCAGTTGCCTGTCTCTGGCTATTCAGTCCAGCGCACCAAGGTGACAAGGTTTTTGAGACTCACTATTTGCCATCTCGGGCATAGTCATAGCTTACTGACTCACAGCTAGAGTGAGCTTCTCTGTAGGCCATTTCAAGTCTATGATAATGTACCTGTATAGATTGCAAATCAATGGCATCTGTCTGCTGCTTGATAAAAGCCATCACCTCACTGAGTGAAAAGGCCAAGTAAGGGGCCCAACAGAGGGCACCCCATTTAGCCTGCTCCAAAGGGGGTTATTGAAGAAAAGTTCTTTTAAGCAGCAGCATTCCTGCAAGGCAATCACATGGGGGGCCAAATAAGGCCCTCAGGAGTTCATCAGGGTGTGGAGGAGGCCCAAAACCACCTTCCACAGGCAGGCAAAGATGCAGTAGTATCCCTAGCAGTAAGATTTCAGCCTTCCAGTCCATTCCTGAAATAAAGAAAAAACAGAAAAGGCTTCTCAGGGCGAATTTTCGTCCCTGGAGTTATCTATATGGTTATCTGTTATTCCTTTAACTTGATCAATCTGTTTAACCAGACGCTCTGGTAGCCATCTAGCAGATTTTATTTTCTTAGAGTAAATGCCTACAGAACCTCGGCCCCAGATGAGGACTGGGTCTGGGCCATGCCAAGAGTTGGTTAGTGGATCTTTTCATAGTACTGATGCAAATTGTTTTTGAGTTTCTGTATGTCAAAAGCGATTAGAAGCAGATTGCCCATTGTAATAATAAAATGGAAAATTCCACTCCACCCACCACCAGTTGGAACACAGGAAACTGTGACTGTTTACTCAGCTAATCTAGGGTGCCAGAAAACAACTGTCCAACCGCGACCCCTGACTGACTGCCGCCCAGCTGCTATGAGAACCTGAGCAGCTTCCCCATTCCCATGGTCCTGAATCCTCCCCTCCCCTCCCTGAAATGCTGTATAAAACTCAGCCGCTGTTGTCACTCGGGGCTCTTGGCTTACTATCGGCCTTGAGCCCGCTCACGTGCGTAATAAA